TTAAATATTATATTTCTTATTATTATAACTCTATTAAAGTAAGAGATTTATATTTAGTATATATTAAAAATAAAGTATTTAACTAAATACTTAATATAGCTTTTAAAGCTTATTTTATAGTATTATTTATTATAGCTTGCTTTATAATTTCTTTTAAGTAGATATATATAGTAGCTATATATATAGACTTTATTTTAATTAAGTCTTAAGTCTACTATATACTTTCTTATTAGTAATTAAGTATTATTATAAAACTAAGTATTTAAAGTTTACTATAGTAATTTCTAACTAGTAGTTTAGTAAAAGCTTATATTATAAAAATATATTATAGCTTATATACTCTCTAACTATAAGTTTATAAGTAAGTCTATACTTATAAGTATTTTATTTAAGTATAATATAATTAATTAGCTTACTTTTTTAATACTACTATTAAATTTATATATATAAAAAAGAGAGTTTTTAAGCTTAATTCTTTTAAGCTTAATCTCTTATATATATACTTAGCATTAAAATATAGATTTGCCTGCTTACTAAATTATAGTACTTTTATTATTTTATATAAACTTATATATTAATAGCTTAAATTACTATATAACTTAGTGCTTATAGTAAAAAAGTATATTAAATACTATTTTCTATACTTTATTAAAAAGTAAACATACTTATACTATCTTAAAGTATTTATTCTTAAATACTAAGAGCTAATTTATACTATTATAACTAGATAAGTAATCTTAAAAGTCTTAATATATATACTAAAATAAATATAGTAATATATTCTCTTTAAAGTACTTAAATATAACTTAGTATATATATACTTAAGTATAGACTTTATAGTCTTTATACTTAATTCTCTTTATATATATATTTCTAGTATTTAAGTAGAGCTTTTTAAGTATAGCTTTACTAAGATAGCTAGCTTATAAATACTATAATTTAGAGGTATTTTCTCTTAGCTTTAAAGAGTTCTTACTAGGCCTCTAGTACTAAGAGCTTTATATATATATATTTTAAGTATAACTACTTATAGTAATAATAGTAAAAGAGCTTAAAATTATAGTATTTCCCAAGAGTTCTTTATATAGTTATTAAGAAGCTTATATTTAAGAAAAGTTAAGCTAAACTTTCTAACTAGCTAAGCTAGTATTATACTTTCTTTTAATAGTTTATAGTATAATATATAATTATAACTATAAAGCTAAGCTCTCTTTTTATCTAGAAGATCTACTAAGATAATATTAATATAAAAGTTCTTAATAATAGCTATATTACTAAAAGTAAAGTTTACTATTTAAGTACTATTATTACTATATAGAATCTTTCTAAGTATATATATATACTTCTTTTAATAATTAAATAGCTTATTACTTCTACCTCTATATATTTTTCTATTATCTCTTTAAATAAGCTTAACTTAAGCAAATTAATATTATTAATAAAATATATAGTACTATAGTTATTTAATAGTATACTTAAGAAGAGTAAATATTTAGCTTATTTAAGTACTATATAAATTCTAAAGTATTACTTATATAATTAAGTAAGCTAGAGATTTATAATAGTAGTATTAAATTTTTTATTAAAAAAGTATAGTTTCTTATTAAAGCTCTAGTTATTTTATAAGCTTAGTTTTATACTTTCTACTAATAGCTTTAAGTATAAGTTCTTTTATTTATTACTATTATAATAATTCTTTATTTATATAATTTCTTTCTTAGTTAAGTATATATAAAGTTTAAGACTCTAGTTTTTTATAAGTATATAGTATAGTTTTCTATATTTTTAAGTGCTTTAAAGATAGAGAAGAAATAAATTATTAAGTATATAAAAGTACTTCTTCTTCTTTATATTATTTTAAGTATTATTTTAGTTATTACTATTATTACCTTAAGTATTATTATTAGTATTATTCTTATTATTTTTATAATTTAAGTATTTTTTTAAAGTAGTATAAATACTTTTAGCTTTTAACTTACTATACTTATTTTTAGTAAAGTAGCTATTAAATATATTAGTAAAATCTCTAAGTATATAAGTCTTTAGTATTTTAATACTTTTATTATTTTTTATTATATTAATTAAAGTTTTAGCTTAGCTAAAATTATAGTAAAATCTAGCTGCTTTAAGGAAATTATAAATAGTAATAATACTTTAGATTTTAATAATATTTTCTATAGTAGCTTAAGTAAAAGCCTTACTTTATTAAAAATACTAATTCTTAGAATTTTAATTTATATATTAAGTATTTTTAAGAACTACTTTATAAGCTTTATAAGCTTTTATATAAATACTTAAGTTATTTAAAGTAAGTTATATTTTTAGTACTTTAATTAGCTACTTAAAAGTAAATTTAAAATTTATTCTTTCTAGCTTAACTATAGTTACTTTATATATACTTAGTTTAATTAAAATAGTAAACTAAATATATATATAAATTATACTTTTATCTCTATATAGCTAGTTAGTATATTAATACTTATAGTTCTTTTATATTTAGTTATATATCTTAATAACTATATAAGTTAAATTAAATTTATAATATACTTTATAAAGAACCTTAGCTTTTACTATTATTAAATACTTAAGCTTAAAGAAACTATTAGCTTCTTACTTTAGTTAATTAAAGTCTATATAGTTCTAAATTTTTTATATTTTATAATAGTTATATAGTAAATTAAACTAATTCTTTTAATTTATAGAGAAATAAAAAAGCTTTACTAGTACTATAATAGCACTTATAAGTATAGTTAGCTTAGTAAATTAACTTATAGTTAGCTTAAAATAAAAATAATAAATAAATAATATATATAAAGAATACTTAATATACTAATAAAAGTTATAAAAGTTAATTAATACTTTTTAAGCTTATAACTATTATATAATAGTAGTAGTATTAAGCTAGATATTACTTAAATAATAGTTAAAAGCTTTAAATTAATTTATAAAAGAGAGAATTATATATACTCTTTAAATAAGTACGCTTAGCTCTATATATTAAGTGCGTATTAACTTAATTCTATGCGTATGTATGTCTATTAGCCCTAGGTGGGTATTCTAGGGCGCGTTAGGCATGCCGTTGCCGTGCGACACGGCCGGTCCCCGCTTTAGCGCATCCCAAACCTGCCGACGTCGGCGTACTTTTCCAGGAAAAGAACTTCAACTCATGATGCAGCCTCGCCTCTCACCGTAAACACCCAGATCCGGCGCCAACACGTTTCGTCTCATTTCGTCTCACCCTCGGAGCCAAGCCAGACAGAATAGATTGACCAGAACCGTCACCATGGCCGTCACAGGGGACTCGCTGTCCCCGGGCCCGACACCACAGTGAGGTTCACCAAAAAAGGACGAGGAAAAAGGACGACCAGCTAACCAAGCTCGAAGCCCCCTCAAAATATTCGACACAGCAAGGAAACAAGACCGATTCATCTACGCCTGTGCGCCCATGGTGCGCTACAGCAAGCTCGCCTTCAGACAGACGGCTCACCGATACGGCACAGATCTCTGTTGGACACCCATGATTCTGGCCAAAGAATTTAACCGCAGCGAATTTGCTCGAGACAGCGGTATTTATTATGCCTCCCCTTCTGAAGGTTCTTATTACATCACATGGACGAAACGAAAAAAACTAACCTCGGCCACACAGATCTGACGATATCAACCACAGCGCCGCAGCCACCCACGATCCTCCAATTCGGGGCCAATTCTCCCCTCGAGCTGGCACGCGCGTCCTCGCTCGCCGCCCCGTTCGTGTCCGGCGTAGACCTCAACTGCGGATGCCCCCAGTCATGGGCGTGCGCGGAAAGCCTCGGCGCCGCGCTCATGGACCAAAGAGCCCTCGTGCGCGACATGGTGAGCCAGGCGAGGCAGCGCCTACGCCACGACGGATGGGCCGTCGGCACGGAGAGTGACATGGACAGCCCCAACGGCCGCAGCGTCAGCGTCAAGATTCGCGTCCACGCCGATCTGAGGTATGCCGCCGCGTCCCGACGGGCAAGGAGAGAAGCAAACGACAGACAAGGGGGTCGCTAACGCGGAGCGCGTCGGATCGGGGGAACCAACACAGGAGAACGGTAGACTTTCTCGACACCGTCGTCGGACACGCGCAGTTCCGCAACGTCGACTGGGTCACCATCCACCCACGGACGCGGCACACGCCGTCCACGACGCCCATCTTCACCGAGGCCCTCGAGATGCTCGCGGACAAGTACGCGGACACGCTGCCGCTCCTCCTGTCGGGAGACGTCTTCGATCTGTCTGCCCTGCCTGTGCGCGGCACGACGCCGACCGTCAAGGACGACGTCACGCCCCCGTCTGCGCCGAGGCCGAGCACGACTCGCCTGTCGGGCTTCATGTCGGCGCGGGGCCTGCTCGCGAACCCGGCCCTGTTCGCGGGCCACGCGGCGTGTCCGTGGGAGGCCGTGGAAACGCTCATGTGCAGGCTCGCCAGGGCGCCGCTGCCCTTCAAGCTGGCGCTGCATCATGTGCAGGAGATGACAGGCCCGGGGATGGGCCCCGACAAGAGGGCGCTGTTGAGCAAGAGGGAGAGGGCCCAGTTGAATGCCTGCGAGAGCATGCTTGACCTGGTGGATTTCCTCGACGCAAAGCTGGAGGAGCATACGGGGAGGCAGGGGATGCGCAGGGATCTATGATGGGTGCCTGAATCCGAATCCGGATTGACGCGACGAAGCAAAGGTAAGCCCTCGTGAGTGTCGTTGACACCCGTCATCGACGACAGGCCCGCGACTGAATGACAGAAAGCCCTTCACAAGACACAAAGCGCGACCCTTCTCTTGACATCGTGACTCGTTCCTCATAACTACCGCCATGTGGCCACCACTACTACCACTGCTGCTACGACTAGCGACGACGAGTGAGAGGCACCCAGCCATCTGTCCGCCCCCCGAGTCGACCAACGTCATCATGGAACGGGAAAATCCCTCATCGCGTCTCAAGAGCGCTTCAAAGCAGCTCCCCCCCTTTTCCCCCTCAGAGACCTGCCAGGATGCTCTGTATCCCAACAGACCCCGAGTCGTCCCTCCTCTGCACAAATGCCCTGAAGTCGCCCTTGCACAGCTTCCCTCTGCCGCCACTCTGGCCCGGCGCCAAGGCCCTCGCCTTCTCCCTCAATGCCTCGGGACCCACGATGAACAGTGACCCAATCTCCGTGAGAAGCTCAACCATGTCCGCAACCTCCTTGGCCAGAGGCCAGTCCCGCATCACAGAGACGTACTTTGCAACATCCTGCGTGACCATCAGCCCCCCCGTGGCGTTGACCTGGAACTTTTTGAAATGGTCAAAGAGGAGCTCGTGGATGGACAGCGCGAGCTCGCTGAAGTACCTTTCGGCGTTGGGCCCGTCGATGGCGAGGCTCGCCTCCTTGGACGACCGGCCCAGGAACTTGCAAATGCCGAGGCACGTGGGCGTCTGCAGGAATTCGAGTTCCCCGCCCCTGGGCCGGAAGTCCTGCTTCTTCTGGGAGCCGAGGGACTTGGCGACGAAGTTGGTGATGACGTCGATGGAGCTCTTCATGACGGCGTTTGTCTTCTTCTCGATGGCGTCCATGGCCATGTTGCGCTGCGCCTCCATGCTCTTCCTCACGGTCGTGTTGGGCTCGGCCAGGCGGACGAGCACGACGGTGATGAACCTGTCCATGATGGCCGAGATGGTGACCGCGGGCCGGACCGGGGACAAGAAGGCCAGGTCCGGCTCCGTCTTGGAGTTTTCCACCAAGGTGGCCTGGCCGTCGGCCGCCTCGAGCGCCGTCTGCACGTAGAGCTGGCCCATGTTGGTGAGCAACAGCTGCAGGAGCACGTTGACGTCCTTTGGCGTCTCGGCCTGGGACCCGAGCTCCAGGGTGCGCTGGACGCTCTCGGCGAGCCACTTGAGCATGCGCTTCGCGTTGGTGACGCTCAGCGCGCCGTCCTCCTCCGAGACCTCGATCTCGTTCTTGTTCTCTTTATCCTTAATGCCGGCGACCCGCAGCATGATGCGCTTGTGTGTCGGCGTGAGATCCGAAGACTCCAATCGTTCCAGGTACGCGTCCTTGGCTGTGGCCATGAACTGGGTGCCCTGCTGGGCCAGCGAGGCCATGAAGCCCTGCGGCGCTCTCCTCCTCCGAGAGTGGTACATTGTGAATTTGAACAGCAGCGAGCTGTACATTTCCTCGAGGCTCTTTCGCTCCCGTTCAATGTAGGAGCCCCCCACGAGGTAGGGGATGAACAGCTCGTCCGTCTGCTGATCCAGCGTCTGCGCAATCTGCCCCGAGCACGCGTCGGGGTGTTCTGTAAGGCCGTGGGTCTTCAAGTCCTCCACCAACGAGCTGATGTAGCTTCTTGAAGAGTGTAATGATCTCAAAAAGGCAAGAGTGGACACGGTACCGGCCTTGTCGAGGACCTTTTCGAGTCTCTGCTGAATGGACTGCTGGAACACTCTCTGGATAAACTTGACGAGGACGGTCTCGTAGTACGGAAACGCGCGCTTGATGATGAAGGACTCTTCTTGCATCACAATCTTGACCTCGTCAACGAGGGACTGCAGTCCAGGGTCGACGCCGGGCGGGTCCGAGTCGGGGTCTGCCAGGACTTCCCACGTCTCCCCGTCACCAATAGCCTCGTCGTTCAGCTGGTCTCGATCGATAAAGAACTGGTGCTGGTTGACAAAGATGGCAATCACACTGGCGCCACCGTTGAAGTCGTGCAAGACCTTGGAGCACTCCATCATGTCGTCAAAGTTCTGGCGCCTGTAGCTATTGTTGAACTGTTCCAGGAGATCCTGTTCCAAGGACTCGCAGAATTTCTCGAGGATCTCGCGCGTGTTGTGTGATTTGGCGTCGCCGGCGTGGCCACTGAGCGTGGCGCTATTTCGCTGGCTGCTGGTAGAGCTCCACGACGACGGATCAAGCTGCTGGCTCATCCTCATCAGCTGGCGCGCGATGACGGCGCATCTGATCTTATTCTCGGACCCGCCCTGGAGTCGGATGTCTTCCAGAGAGGATAGCAGTCCGGCGTCGCTCAGCTCGGTCCAGCACTGAATCAAGAATATGGTGTCTTGCGCTCGGCGTCGCTTGCGGTCGAGCTCCTCCAGCTTCTCCCCTATCTGAACGGCTACATTTCCTCCGCCGTCGGTCCGGCCGGCGGCGTCTGGCGCACCGCCGGCACTGCTGTGGCCTATCGATCCATCGAGTGCCTCGAACGAGCTCATGCTCTGGTCCAGCGTGCGACCAAGGGTGTCGAGGGTTTGATCGTGCTGGACCTCTGCGCGTCGTACTTGGGACAGGATTTCCGACTCCTTGTCTTGGAGCTCGTCGCCGAGCAGAGCCAGCTGTGACAGGGCATCTGTGGAAAAGCAATGGTCAGTCTGTCCTTTGGGGGGGCGGCATCGAGTCTGGCCGGGAGCTGACCATACTTTCAAAGGTCCGAATCAACGGCTTAGGGTCGAACGCCGCCGCCGCAGGCCCGGAGCGGCGATTGGAAGGGACGGCACTATCCGCCAGGCTGTCGACAAAGTCGCGGACGATGAAGTCCTTGCCGGAGAAGTTGTCCAGGGTGAAGCTCGGGCCTTTTGGAAAGAGGCTCTTGGGGCCCGAACTGGTCCGCTCCATGGTCGGAAGGCGGGCTTGCAAAGCTCAGCCGACAGGCTACATGTGTGTAGTGGCGGGTGGGATGTCGAACTGGATGCGCGCAGACACGGACAATCGTCGAGTGCGCGCGCAAGCTGGGAACTCTGATTCCAACGTCGATGTGACTGACGATGATGTGCCTTGAACAAGTCCCTGCGACCCTGGTCCATGCGTGTGCGTGGCTCTCCCAGCCACCGGCAGCCCCGCAACGCGACTGCGCCACAGCCGAACCGAAACACGAAGCAGCATGTACTCCGTACGCGGTGCCAAGCCCAGCGACGTAATGCGACATTGATACTCCGTAGAGACGCGCAAAAGACGGACTTGGCTCGTACATGGTTGAACCCGTCGACGTTTTCTCCTCGGACTCGACACTGTCCTCGCCATGCTGCCACGTCCTCGTCACCTCGTCCAATAGCCAGCCCATCCCACCTGTTCTGTTCCAGACGACCCCGCGGCCTCTTGCGTCTTCTCTTTTCTCATCTGGTATTTCGCTTCCAAGCAACCACCGGCTCACAACCGCCTCGCGATGCCCATGTCTTCCCGCGACCGCGCGGCCTACAGAGCCGATGACGCGTCGCATCACAAGCTCCTCAGCCAAAAGGAAAGAGAGAGGATCCTGCGGGTGAGATTTCCAGCGCTCGACGTGTCTGCTCTCGCCGGTCGTGTCGCTGACGCACTCAGGCCAATCTTCCCAGCCCAAACGACATTCCGACCGTTGCAGCCTCCAAGGCCCAGTCGCAACGTCGATCACGACTCGGCGTGCGGAGGTTTCTAAAAAACCAGCTCTTTGTGCTCGTGTTTGCCGTCATGCACGGCCTCTTCTCCCTGTACATCCGCCTGCGCCAGGCCATCCACGTCGTCAGCTACCAAGTCTCCTCCGTGCTGTACTACCACCACGGCACGCCAGAATACATTCGACGAGATGTGGTCGGCCTTGGCCGGAGGCCCGATCATCTGAGCGCCATCCTGAAGGCCGAGGAAAACCAGAGGCCCAAGGCCGACCTGGACCGTCTGATTGAGGAGACTGCCGAGCTGGCAGCTTGGTGCGCCAGCGCCGAGATTCCCATGCTCTCCGTCTACGAAAAGACAGGTGTGTATTCCGTCGCCGAACATGCCACGTTGACATTTGGACCGGATCCTCCGTCTGACGCGTGGAAACCAGGCATCCTGAAAAAGCACATGCCCCGAGTCTACGAGGCCGTCATGCGGAAATTCACCTTCTACTTTGCCGGCCAGCATCCAAGTCTCCTGCTCACCTCTCCGCACAAGGATGCCTACTCGTCGCCAGCGCTCGCCGGTGACGCACGCGGTCACTTGAAGCTGCATCTCGTCTCTGCCCAAGACGGCAGAGAGTCCATCGTCGACCTCACCAGAACTTTGGCGGAAATGTCGCAGAGGGGCAAGATCTCTCCGCGAGACATCTCCATGGAACTGGTGGACGCAGAGCTCTCGGAGGGCATTATGCCCGAGCCTGATCTTCTCGTCCTGTTCGGCCCCTACGTCGAGCTGTCCGGCTACCCGCCCTGGCAGATTCGCTTGACGGAAATTTTCTGCCTTCAGGACAACGAGGGATTCGGATATCAGGTGTTCTTGAAGGCTCTCCGCAAGTTTGCCAAGGCCCAGATGCGCAACGGCAAATGAGAAACCCCGTACATACAAGTCAAAAGGTCTAGGAAAACGCACGTGTCACGAGCCATAGATATTTCTTGTCTGCAACCACGGCAACAGTCGCCACTTTGTCTTCTAGCCCTTTTCCCACAAGACCATCTGCCGGCTTGTCTGATCCCACCGGTACACAGGACCGCTTCCGACGTTGTAGTTGTAATAATTCTCCGTTCCGTCCTTGATCATGGCCTTGCGGAACGTGATGTTTATCCGTCCCCCATCTTGCTGGTTTTTACCCGTGCGCTTCGGAATCGAGTGAAGCCAATTCGCCTGCGTCGCCCCCCTCATGAGAATCATGTCACCACTGCCCAGTGTCAACTTCACCCCCTTGGCGTGCTTTGCCACGGCCGACTCGCCAGGCCGAGGAGGTCTGCGCTTCATTAAAAAGTCGCGCCGGGCACCGAGCGAAAACGACGCAATCGCCGGCTCCGCACCGAGAAATCTCTCGTCGTCGCTGTGGAAGGATATACTGTCTGCGCCGGAAGCGTAGTAATTCACCAGACAAAAGTTGAACTTGCAACCCGTTGCTGCTTCAGTTGATTTGCGGAGGGTATCCAGACACTGCGGAATGGGACGCGGAGGGTACCGGTCGTACCGCCTGTCGTTGGCCTTGACGGTGGACAACTTGTCCGTGACGGAGCCGCGGGCGTCAAAGTACGATGTGTCGTCTAGCCCGAACACTGTTGTCCACCTGTCGAGACGTCAGCGTATGCGCGGTGCGTGACGAGGCTCAACACGGTATGTTTGAACGCCGGGGCGAGTCAAGTCCCCCTTTGCGCCAGCTTCATACGTACCGCGGCGTAGTAATGTGTGTTTTCAACCCGCCGCGCTTGGCTTCGTATTCGACCCTGTAAAATGGCAGTTCTGACCGCAGGAAGTCGAACATCTCGTTGGCCATGTACGTCGGGATGTAGGGCTGGAAATGGAGCAGATCCAGGTCTGGCCGGTCGTTGATGCCCTTGCCCGGGCGGGCTGGGAGGGACGACACGTCACGCGCCATCGGGGCCGGCAAATTGGCCATCGGGAAGGGATACGATGGGTGCTCCGAGCGGCCGGTCTGTCGAGCGGTCCTGTTTATCAGATGGATGTCCGTCATGAGTGGCGCCTTGGTGTGTCGCGGCCAGAACTTACGTCGTCATCTGGCTCATTCGCCTTGCGGCGTTTCGGGGGCGCCGCGAGAAACGCGTCCAGGGTCCGCTTCTGCGCCATCTCTCGTCTCTCGTCTCATTTACCACCTGCGGAAGGGCATGAGTTGAGACGAGGCAGATGGAGCACCACGGCGGCGAGACAGCCGGAATGCTCCTTTTGGCGTCTGGGGGCATCGAGGAGTTGGGTGAGTGACATTTCGACCAGCCTCGGCCAAAAAGCGGGCCAAAAAGCGGGCCCACACTTACCCGCGAGTCGCGACCACGGAATTTTCCCATCGGTCTCGCTGCCCTTGATCCATGCCATCCGGTGGTGAGGTGCTTTTTTTTTGGCCTTCCTTACCTAGAGAGAGAGAGAGAGAGAGAGGGAGAGAGAGGGAGGGCATCATTTCATCTGCTTCGGGCCTGCCTTGTCCTGTACGGTGACACAATATGAAGGTACGAACAATCTCACTCCCCACATGTTGCGCTGCATCTTCTGTCCATCACGCGCGCGCTCTCTCTCTTTAGCCCCAAGCGCTTCGGGACCGCGTGTCTAATTAGAATAAAACAGGGCGACCGCTCCGAGGCAGAAATGAACCTCTTCAAGCCCGTTGCCGCAGCGAGGGCCGCCAAGTCTCTCGACCGGACGCTGTTCTCGCGCACGCTGCCTACTGTTGCGGCGAGCGTGCGCGAGAACAAGCTCATATCCAAGTACAGGAAGCAGCTGGGGCAGACGAGGGAGGTGTTGATGGTAGACAAGTTTGACCCGATTGCCGCGGATCCGGACGAGACACTGGCGGGCCAGGGGAGGAAATGTCTTATTCTGAAGCCGGATGTGAAGATCTCAGGTATTTTCTCCTTCCTCTTGGCGATGTGGTTGACTGAGATCGAGTGCCCTTTTCAGTGAGTGAGTCCGCCAGTGCTGGGGAAAAGCTGACGTGCGTTGTCGTAGCCCCTGAGACGTGGAGTCCCGTGCTGCAGGAAGCCACCAAGATTGGGGACCTGAAGATTGTCCCGTTTGACGTGACGTTTGGATATGAGCTGTGGCCATATCGTGAGTTGCTCATTTTTGACTCACGTTTCGTCTCGAAGAGGTTGCGCGGCCCATGTCTGATATCGGGTGTTAGTGGACGTCATGAGGTCGATATTGCCGGAAGAGCTTCACGATGAGATCCCTGTGGGTTTCAACACTGCCGGGCACGTGGGTTCGTATTGACTGTACTTTTGGTGGTCTTGCTTCATTTTCCCATCTGACGCATTGAGCAGCGCACCTGAACCTGAGGGATCGATATCATCCGTACAAATACATCATTGGCCAGGTCATCCTTGACAAGAACCCGAATATCCGGACCGTCATTAATAAGACGGACGATGTCGGCACCAAGAACGAATTCCGTACCTTCAGCTACGAGGTCCTGGCTGGTCCGGATGACATGCGTGTCGAGATTAGTGAGGCCGGGTGCGCCTTCAACTTTGACTACTCCAAAGTATATTGGAATTCGAAACTGAGTGGGGAACACGATCGAATCTGTGCCATGTTCAAGCCTGGGGAGGCGGTTGCCGATGTCATGGCTGGTATTGGACCCTTTGCCGCGCCGGCGGGCAAGAAGGGGGTTTTTGTCTGGGCGAATGACAAGAACCCAGAGAGTTACAAGTATCTGGGCGAAATTGTGCGGAGGAACAAGGTGAGAGAGAGGCACTGAGATTGGGCCAGACTCCAAGCAGGGGACAAGAATCCCGCAAAAAGTCAACACGTCAACTGACTCGATTCAGGTGACCGAGTTTGTCAAGCCCTTCAACCAAGACGGCCACGACTTCATCAAACGAGCCGCAGACCTTGTGCTGGAAGCCTCTCAGCGCGGAGACTGCGCCGTCGTCAAACCTGCCAAAGTGTCCCGTAGCGCACCACCGGAGAAGCGGCCAGAGCCAGTTCGCGTTCCTGTGCCTCCTACCGTTGCCCACTATGTCATGAATCTGCCCGCTTCTGCTCTCGAATTCCTCCATGACTTCAAAGGCTTGTACCACGGGCAAGAAGGGCTATTTACGCCACACACGAACACCAAGTTGCCTTTGATTCACGCGCACTGCTTTGCTGTCAAGGCGGACGACGCGACCGCTCTCCATGACATATGCCGACGCATCTACAGCGAGCTTGGTGTTCAGCTGAGGCCGGGCAGTGCGGAGGTGGAAGGGGAGGTGGCCATTCACGAGGTTCGGGATGTTGCCCCCGCAAAGAGGATGTTTTGCGCAAGTTTCCGTCTGCCTCGTGAAGTGGCCTTCTCCCCGCGATCCCGGCAAGGCATTTAAACCTGAACCCTCCATCACTTTGCCTCCTGTAGGACCAACCAGACTCTTTCTCGTGCAGTGATTAGAGGCGAGGCGAACCACAGAGGAAAAGAGGTAATGAAATGGCAAAATAGTTCCGGCAAGACTGCTCCTTCCGCAGCAATATCGGTCAAAGGCGCGGCATTCCTTTGCTCATATCGACAAAATTCTCATTAGTACATCACCCAGCAGATCTGGGCAGCACCCGACACCGCGACCGTTTTCACTAGCCAACACATCCCTCAAGCCGGTTTGTTTCGAATCCACAGCTGACTCTCTGCAGGGATCTGTCTCATTGGTGCATTTTTCTTGGCTGCGAGTACATCCCGCCCTTCTGAGGAGAGAGGCTTGTATTGTGAAGATGCAATATGAGAACAAAAAGACACCATCATCACGCAATTCGGTTGACAACAGTCTTGGAAGGCCCCTCCTGGACAGCCACAGCAACAACAAATATTAACATGGCGGAGTATGTGTATGCATATCTAAGCTGGGATGACATCTTCGTTCCAACCAGGCGCGCCGAGGATATTGTTATCAGCAATTTCTCTCCTCCCCTTGGTGGAATGTTTTGATGTAGCTTCTGCCATTCAAGCGATGGAACCAGAATGGGCGTGCAGGAACATGACCGTAGGAGGGTGTACTTGTCAATTGAGAGACAAAGCGGCTACCTGGGCACGCAGGGATGTAATGTATGCGGCCAGGTTAGCCAAAAGAGCTTTTGTCAACCCAATCAGACCGTCACCACAAGCTTGACCGGCTGTGAATGCATGCGGCCAGGCCCACGGCTGCCGTGTAACACCCTCCCACGGGTGAGAGACCATTCGATAAGTGTCTCGGCAGCGCCCCGTGGCTGGCAGCCACCATGTAGGTTGAAGCTTGTGGAAGGAGGAATGGCATAGGACATATTCGTCGTGCCTGGGCAGAAACCACCAGCGCTGAGCCGATTTTGAAATGCTCCGTTCCTGACGTCAGGGCTAGCCAAAACGCGGGTCTTTTGTTTGAGTTGGCGTGATGCCGCTTCTCTGGTTCCGCACCCGGTTGCTCACGTCCTGTGAGCTTCTGGGAGAGATGCATACGCAGTGGATTGAGTTGTGCCACTCGTCATGCAGTCGAGGTAGTCCAGCTCTCGAGTCCTCAAAATGTAGTTGATCCCTGGAGTATTGGCCCACTGCGGATTTTGATAAGAGTGGCAAGCTAGATATTGGCGCAATTAATTTTCCGTACGGCGCGTTGTCGTCGAGACAAGGCTGGAAACGTTGCTATCACGCGTTGAGGTCAAGGTTTAACCTCGATTTGGCTTCCTGTCGCCCATCGTAGCCTCAACTGCCGAATGTAAGTCAGCACTCGAACATGAGTACCAGTGCTCTTTTGGCCGCAACTCTAGTCTTAGGCGTGTGGACAACAGAACCTCCCCTGCAATACGGGCCTTTTCTCTTGGCTGCAGACGCTGCTTGCTGACCTTGAGTTAATTCCGGTTCTATCTCATTAAATTAGCAAGGGGGGGGGTGATCATGTAAGCCGCTTCCTCGGAATGAATCACCATACCATTACCTTTTACTGTCCAATCTTGAGATCCAAGAGGATGCTCGGGGTTCCGTCGCAGCATGTTTGACACGCAAAGGCAGCCCTGTGCCAGATAAACAAGCTGCTTGGACTCTTTTAAGTTATTAGGGCCGTGGCAGGGTGGCTGGCCAGACGTGGCACAATGAGGAGATTCCTGTTCATCCATGCTGCTGGCCAATTGGCTCTCGGACACTGACTGATCTTGCAACTACTAGTACTAGTCAGTTGCGGTGTTGCATGCAGGATTGCAAGGGTATTTGTAGAACCCAGATCCCAGCCGAGAATTGCCATATCAGCATAGTAGTACAAACGGAGGACACGGGGATGATTTTCTGGGCGACTGGCTTCCCCCGTCTGCGAGAGGTGGGGTAAAGTGGCTGGAATTGACATCTGCTTTATCGCTTCATCGTGATGACGGTGTTTTGTGGCTTTTCCATGAGCGAAACATGATTTGCTAGTAAACACCAAGATATGACTCTCTCTGTCTCAATGACATACGAGACTTGGGGCAAACTGCCACTCAGCGTGTTTCGACTCCGCAGTTCGACTGCAGCGGCATCCAGTTGCAATGGACCCCAGCACGGTACCGGCAGACAACCGGCGTTGCCCGAGAGTATCCGAGTACTGCTTGCAACTGAATAACTGGTCTCGAAATATAACTACAAAGTTGAATATACACGCCGATGTTCAGCAATTTCTTGTCTTCGTGCGTGACGGCGTTTGCTGAGTCGTCTTGCGTTAGTGCGGCTGATGGAAGCAGGCTGGCGATTCCACCACAACATGATTACTCCGTAATAACGTAAGATTCCGGGATAGAGATCAAAGAGACACGGAGGCTTGAGGATCAACCTATGTGCCGGGGCCCCTAAGTCGGTTACAAATCGCATCAGCTAACACTCATCAAGCGGGTCAATGAAGAGCTTCGGCTATCCTGTTCCTCGTACCATGTATGTGTGTGTATTAATGCATTTTTAAATCCCCACCCAATCATCGCCTTTGGGTTCAGACTCCAGGCGCCACAGACGGTGGCTGCAGGTAGCCAGCATCACCTCGATGATGCCTGATGTCCCGCCTCTATTTCGAAATCCTGTCTGTTTGTTCTCTGATTTTGAGGGTCACTAAGCCGGATTTCAGCAGCAAAAGGCTGCACCATTCGGGAACGTGGGCCGATGAGTCGCAAAGCGGAACCAGGAGTGGCCTCACCGGAGACTCAAAAGGTTGAGATGACTGAAGAAGGCAGTACATTGTGATTATAAAACCTGCTAGAACTCGCCGTACGGTGCTGTATTGAGATTGTTTGTCAGTCACGCGCCTGACCACATGGTTTCGTCTCCCTCCGTCAGTTCTAGTCTGGGACAGGCGACCAAGTCTTGGATGTATATCTGAAGCCCTTGAGTGGATCGTCCACCAGGCATCCAAGGACAAACACTCAGGTCCTCAAGTTGGTGTATGGGTAATCGTCCTATAGAAGCTGTGTCTGATGGCCACGAGATTCCCGTGTATCAGAGGTAATTTCTGTTCCGAACATACGAGCATCTCAGGGCGCTATCACGCATAGTAGTCGTGATCAAGAGCACAAGCGGAATAGACCGGAAGGTTGGCCAATCTGTGCCTGTTTAACGTTGTTGAACAGCACTCCCGCGCGAGTCTGTACTAATGCGGCAAAGATAGAGTCGCCTAATGCCAGCTTGCTATGGCAGTAGTAACCACAAAATGATGATCATCACCGCATGCCTCCGACTGAGGCCGACCGAGACGTACGAGGCATTGGTGTCGATGATTGCAGAACGGCCATCATGGACCTTGCAAGTTGTGGCACAGTGCATACGACTCCATCATAATCTGAAAAACAAGGGCTTGACCGGGGCGAGATACAAACCATTTGGGTAGGTGAAGTCGAAACGCAGATTTCTCACCCAGTTGCTATCGGCAGGGAAAGGACTTGTCTCTTCTATATAGGCATCCAGGAACTTGAAAGCCTAGTCATTTCACGTTTCGATGTTGGCCTGGTTTGGGTGTCTAGCGGCGAAAACAAGAGGGGAAACAGTGATGCAGAAGGCCCATTTACAGAGCCTGGATCCAACCCTTAGCCGGCCAAGATTGATTGTCATGAGTGTCACCCTACGGTTGGCTTGTGGGCTTCTCCGAAACCTATGGCTGGTAGTTCGTCGTAGTGACTAAGTCGCTGAAGAACCGGACCAGGCCAGACTTTCGTAGATCATACCACAGCACAAGACAAGCAGATGACGGCCTGATGCTGAGCCTGCGATGGCTCGTCTGTACTTGTAATCCAGAATTTGTCGACTGCTAGAAGGCCAGTGTCCTGCTCGCTTGCGCAAAATAACAAACATAAAAACGTGCGTTAGGAGCGATCCATTTGCTTGCATCGCGGATCGATGGCTTGACGCTACAAAGGTAGTGAGTGACCTTCACTAGCGAGCCAAGCGACAGTATCAGTTAGCCGCATGGCTATTTGCGCCGACGGCACACCAGTAACATTGTCGTGAGAGTTTCGGGTTGGCGGATCACCCGAGCTCCCGGCCGGTGGCATTGGAATCGTGAGTTGGCGAATTGGAACGTGGCCAAGCCACTCCACATCAAGATCAGAATTTGACTGTGGGTTAACGGCGGCTCAGCCAGGTGTTTTGGGCCACTTGAGGAGGGATGTTCTGCAGAATGTCGGTCGGAGAGTATCCACACGCTCCGGCCGTGAGGCTAGTTTATGGATTTCCTTTTAACGGGCCGAACGCCTGGGATTTTGAGATGGGCCGAAGCAGTGCATCGATATGAAATTCTCATCTGTGGTTACTTTGCCATATGGCGGAGAAGAGTGGCACGTAGCGAGAAACGAGGAAAAGCAAGAACAGAGAAGTTATCTGGGGAAAGAAAGAAAGAAAGAAAGGAACAGACAAACACGCAAGTGCTTCAACACTAGTCACAACCCCGCAAACCACTTGCAGAGGCAGGAGTGCCCCTCCAGAGTAGTTCCACTTTCCAACTTGACAAGTGAATCCAGCACGAAGCATCTCGCGAAATACAACTTCGGACTGATCAAATGTTCTGGTGTGTTTATCCACTTGACCGGGCTTCTAGGATTTGAAAAAAGATCTGAATGAGTACGATCCTTCAACATTCCGTCAAGTCTGTTGCCGGAAGCGCCGCATGCTTTCCTCTACCGAATTTATCCTCCTCGCAGATGTCATCTCGAGCCGATTGCCACCTCACCGTACCCTCCCGACAAGTTTTCTTGCTCACAAAATTTTCCCGTTTTCTCCCCTTCCTTTTCGAAGCCGCTCCGCCTCGCCCTCGGCGTGATTCTAGTTCGTCGAGAGGATAGAAAGGGTCCAGCCACCAGGTATTCCCAGTCTCATTGGGCCGCCTCATTCGCTTACGTCTACATGGTACATACATGCAGTCATCGAACGGCGGTATTGATGCCGGGACTCCAGTGATAGTACTTGCAAAATTTTGCAGTCCATGGAATGGTTCATGTTGTGCGGAGCTATGGAACTGTTACATCGAGACACCATGCTACCCGGATTTTCTCTAGGGAGGCACCGACGGGATACTAAAGCTCTCTCGCACAAAGGAAGGCGGAGGGCAAGACGCACCAACCATCCCGCACACCGTCAATCCGATCCGCCGTACGGAGTCTGCACCGTCGCCACCAAACTAGCCAACAAGCCACCGGGCAACTCCCGTGGCTATCCCATCTCGTCCTCCTTGAATTAGTCGCCTGTGGTCCCCTGGAGTTCCCCTGTTGAGCACTCTTGAACCTTGGTAGCCTTCGCTTTGGCTCTACGGAGCAGAGAAATGGGTGCTACACAAGGGGCACCACGCAGGACAGCAAGGCACCGTACGACAATGAAGTCTTGACCTGACAGCGCCAGTGGGACTGCATTGCAGGGAAGAGACTCGCCTATCTTGCAAACACAGTATAGAATTGGCCTATGTACAGACGAAGCAACCAAGCTACACAGGCGAAGCTAGGTAGTTTGCGGGCGCCATGCCCAACGGCCATATTGCTCTTATCAATGGGTTGGGCTTGCGGAACCAGTGAACTGCGCCCGGAACACGTCAGTCTACTCCTGTTTTCTTCGGAAGTATTACGCCTCGATTTAGACGACCCAAGGCTAGTCGTTGTTCTGATACCTTTGCTGTTAGCCAAGTCGAGGGCGATGTTTGTGGTATAGATACTCCCTTGCGCTTGATGGAGAAGACCCATTGATGGCTTGATTGCGGGCGCAACCTCGACCCGCAGCGCAGACTTTAGTTAGGAAGACTGGATAATTTTCTCGAATCTGGATGGAGACATTCTTGCGTCTTCCTCCCTCGACAGATGGCTGAGAGTCTATCGCCAGAGCCCGCCTTCGAGTGAAGTGCCAGGCGCCATTGCGGATGAAGTGGCTTTGGACTTGGATGGGCACCGGCAGCAGCGGCAGAGAAGACTTAAAACCTGGCAACAGGGGGAGCGCAATATATCCGGTCCTGGTTTTACGACGAACGAACTCGGCCAAGGGAGAGCTGGCAAATCTGGCAGCCTGGCAGTCTGGCAGTGGCTAGTATTCGCAGTGGGCCGGACGACGATGGCAAGATGACTGCAACCGTGATGCCGGGTCTCGACTGGGCCCTGCATGGCTGCATGCCAAACCTACAATGTTAGTAGCGTGCTTGGGTAAAGTGCTAGGTATCAGCTAAGCGCAGGGAGAAGATGCGTGTCGCGGAGGAGCGTGCGGTTGTGTGCTGTGTTGACTCTTTGAGTGTGTGTGTGGCAGCAATGGCTTGGCATGGCATGGCATGGCAGTGATGGCACGGCATGGCAGCCGGCATGGAGTCGAGGGAGTTAGTAACTTCTGGGTACTGGGTACGCAGTAGTACTGGACACCGGGTACGCGTAGCGATACCGATCAGGTCTGGTGTACTTGCTCCGGGCCCAGAGCACCTTGCGCACTAGTGTATCGTGTCTAGTTCAAGTTCTGGGAGCATCGTGCATGGACGCGCAACGCGCTGTTCTAGATACTTGAAGTACTTGCTAGAATACTTCTTAAGTAGGTAGTGTCTGGGTAAGTATCCAAGTACTGCTCAAGTACTGGTTGCCCCGGGCCTAGACCAAGCGCTGAGACCAGGCCCCGTTGTACGGAGTACCAAGAAGTACGGAGAACTGATTGCGACGAACAGTTCAGCGTGGATACTCGGCGCGCATGTACTTTGTACGGCCAGGCCAGTACAAGTCTTTGAATGCCGTCGGTCTGAGGTTGTGGACATGCAAGAATGTCGCTGGTTCAAGGGCCAAACTGGTTCAATGATGGCTCCTTCCTGCCTGCTTATCAAGACTGCATTTCTGCCAGGCCCATTCACGTCAAGCCATTCAAGCCATTCAAGCCAGTCAAGCCAAGTCCCTAGCCCTGAAAGTCGGCATCGGTTTCGTCCCGAGGAGAATACGTCGAGCCGTACGCACCTCTGCAAAGAAAGATTGGAACTCGACCCCAGACGGAGACGCGGGCAGGGCCGTACATGTCTCATAACTCAAGCTCCTACGGAGTACCTACTTGTAAAAGCTGTCGCATCCCTCTTTCTCTCCCCCATCTGCATTGATCATTGATTCTCCTCAGTCGTCATCTTCCTCTCGCATTATTCTACGTGGCCCATCGACTTGGGACTGCGGGCTGGCCATTCGCAGTGCTAAAATCCCATATTGTCCTGGAGTTCCCTTTGTTTGTTATCCGCTGCAACCCCTACGGCGGGCATACTTTGCAAAACGACTTGAAAACACGGTCAAACCATACTCGCTCGCTCGCCTACTTGCTCACCCACTCACCAGAGTCACCACTCACTCACCTGATTTGCCCTTATCTGCTTGGCTGGCCGTTGCCGGCGGCGTCCCCACACACAATTTATACCGACCGCCAAGACAGGATTAGGACTGACACCGGGTGCGGGCTTCAAACTTGCACTCAGACATCCACCCGCCCATCCCGTTCAGGCCATCGATCCTCGACTTCAAACTTTCCATCCTCCCTCCCTCCTTCTCTTATCTGTCTTTAGGTCAGTCGCTCACCGCACATCAATCATCACGCTGGCACTTTTTTTTTCCCTCAAAGAAAATATTACCTCGCCATCTGCGCGCCAGCCGCCCGTACCGTACATAATCCGTGCCTCGTTGCGCCCTCGCCTGCTAAAATAGCCGTTGGATTGTGCCGTTTCGTCCCTTATCAGCAAGGGTTGTGTTCTGCATTGCACGTTTGGCCGCTCCTGCAGCCCACGTCGACGCACCTCAACGTTATCTCCAGACGACGCTGCCTGCAGCACGCCTTCGGTTCGCCTTCGGTTCGCCGTCTTCCCGCATTCGCTTCCAGATTAGGTCTCCTCGACCGTCCTCGACCATCGATTGCGCCTTGTCCGTCAAAACCATCTTTCATCGTCTGGCCCATCTCATTTATCGTCCGCGGTATCCATGACTTGCTGATCCTGTTGTCCGAAAACCACACCCTTAGCGGCGTCTCTTCTGCGTCTGCAACCCGCCGACACAGCTGCCCCTTGTTACAATGGCCGCCGTGCTGTCCTCCGAGGAAAGAAGCTATTTTTCATCGTCGCTGCGTCGCTCACAATCCCAGACTAATTTCGGACACAACCCGTCGTCGTTTCGGCGGTCAACGCCTACGCAGCAAATATCCCCTCCGCTCAAGCCGCCATCTAGCAAGGTCTACACCGATTCGGACCTTTCCTCAGCACCCTCTTCTCCTTCCGCTATCCAGGCCGAATTTACCGATGTTTCCTTTCCCTCCACCCCCGCGAGCAACGTGTCAATATCTTCCGACTTTGATGAATCATTGGGAATAGACGAGAGCCCCGAAGACAACTTCAGCTTACCCCTGCTCTCGCAGGAAAAGTTCTTTCTGCAACCAAATTTCCAGAGCGATGACACTCTGGAGCCACCGCCGAGCCCGAGGACGGGTCATTCATACACAGTCTCTCCCTCGGAGCCCGAGGTTTCTCTTGGGGCATTTGGTCCCGACACACCCGACGTGACCGAGCATGCTGAAGACGACACAGCAGTGTCAAGTAGGCCATCCCGGCAAGTCGACTACCTATCCCATGATTGGAAAGAGGAGGATATCTGGTCATCCTGGAGGTATATCTGCTCCAAAAGAGGCGAATTCGCCAACAGCGCTAGATTGGAAAACGCCTCTTGGAGGACTTGGACGAAGGCTAGGAACAATCTCAAGACCATCTCACCCGAGGAACTGAACTGGTGTGTAAACAGCCCCTCCAAGCCCCTTGCTCCCTTCTCTCCAGTCATTCTCGTGCGCTAAGCAGTGGCGTGTTACAGGTTAAAAGATTGTGACGTTACTTGGCTCTACGGTCCTCTGCAGTGTGGTCCCAAGAATGTGAATCCAACGGGCACAGAACCGTCAAGTGTGACACTGTCAAAAAACGATTCACTCGTCAACCTCAACAAAAAGCCTATCCTGAAGAAGAGGAGCATGTCTGAAGTCATGTTACAAAGGTCTCTTGTGTCGGCATCTTTGTTGAAACAGGCTACAGCGGCGGTTCAAGCTCAAGAAACCCGAGGTGTCTTGAAGTATGGTGCAGACAAGTCCAACGCCGAGTACTATGTAGCCTACCCTCTGTCCGTCCGAAGAGGAAGTCAAGGTACCGGCAGCTCCGTTGCAGCTTCAACAGACTCGTCAAATATTTCCTCCCCTTTCCCCGAGCGCAAGCATATCCACTTCAACGAACAGGTAGAGCAGTGTATTGCTATCGACGTCAAAGATGATGACGAGGAGGATTATGCTCGTGGTGGGATTGGTGAGGACAGCGACTCCGACGATGGTGGCGTCATGATGAAGCGAGTCAGATCCAAGAAGCGTGACCCTACATCCAAGAAGCGGAATAAGAAGCATGCCAATGCCGACGGCAAGATCATCGCCAAATTGCCGTCGACCACGCTGAAATATCGAGCCGACACGCCGGAACCGCGAGAGACAGCCATGAAGCACAGCACAGGGGTCTACAGGAGCCCAACATTATCACCCTCGTCATCTCAGGAAACTCTTCGACCCGCGAAGCAGTCATCAAGATTTTTCTTTGGCGAGGAAGACGACAATGATGATGATGACGGCTATAGCGACGAGACCCTTGTGGCCACCTCGGGCTGGCGATCTCCACCGGGGGGCGCAGCAGGTGTAAGCGTTCACCGGTCGTCTTCTTCGGGGAGTCTGTCGGACGAGCCAGCTGGCATGCGCCGTACTGCGTCGGGCATGTTCATGCCCTGCGATGAAGGCGAGGTTCCGAACGGCGACGGCCTCATAGGCCGAGTTATCGACACCGTCAACACGGCGCGGGACATTGCGCATGTGATTTGGAATGTTGGGTGGAGGAAATGAGGAGATGACGTTTTGCAGTCTGATGATGCCCTTGTGAAAACAGCGGCGTTGAGGCATAATGCACGACTTGCGTGTGTCTATTATTGGACAAACGGCCATTCCTTTGCTTTTTCCTTGGCAACGAGCCATCAACCGATACCCACAAGGTCTCACAGCAACAATCCTGACTATTACTATTTTAATTGCTTCGGATAGCCATGCCCGGTGGCGAGGTTTTCTGCCGTCAACTTTTATTTTCATCTCCGCCCTCTGCCTCGCAGGTCCTACCGGTTGACTCTTGAGGTTGGACGGTCGTTAATGCCGGGCGCCTGAAGCGCATACCACGTGGCACGAGCGGAACGATGGCGGCGTGCTGTGAAGGCCATTGCGCTCTTTGGATGGTCACCAAACAACTCGGGTTCGCTGAGGCGACTCGGCCTCGGAATACGCTGATAATGACGACTTGACGTTTCTGTTCATTTTTTCTTGGCTACAACATTTACACACGCTCATCTGTTGATACGACTTGTTCTTATTAGACGTTTTCTCTGTCGTCCTTTGGTTCTGGTTGTTTGTTTTGTAATGTTCAATGTTTTTCCGCCGCTGGTATTTGTTTCTCTTCAGATCCACTAGATCAATCATTCTGGCAAGCAAACAAAGACGGACGGACACACAGGGGGCAGGAGAGACAACCAGGTACATTGACCAAGGCTGGGGATCAACAGCACTGGCTGGCGTATTCTTTTGTTATTTTGGGGCTTTTTGCGACGAGAAAGCCTTTGTGTTTTTCACTAATTGGGACATTGGTCATGATATCTTCTCCTCTTGTTCCTCCTGCGTGGGATGGGGATCATGGCGAGGGCATGTATGTAAAAGGGGACAACATTATTTTTTTTTGGAGATGTTTTGAGCGGCGCGGGGCATCATGGATGGCGAAAAAAACATATAGGACGGAAGTTTGAACAGGGCATATAACTAGTACATGGAAGTGATTTGGTGCGTGTCATGAAACCGAGTCAGTATCGTTTGTGGAGGGCGACGTGGTTGGTGCCGGCGTCTCGCGACGGGTGTGACGACCCGAGACAGGTAGGCAGCCGCTTCATGTGTGCCGTCGACAGGGCTCGTCTCTCGACTCAATCACGATCCTCGGTACTCTCGAGTCGGGAAGCAACTCGCCCACAGTCCATTGGAGCAGGCAGATAGATACGTGGTGTACTGCACGTCCCAGGGACGGGGACCCGGGGACCCGAGGAGCCCAGGGACACATGCAAAGTCTCCGACTGACGGGCAAGACCTGGCGGGCCCTCGTGGCGTTTTGGGGACCCCGGATCGCCCGCCTGGCTCCAACAAAGGGGTTACTTACGATGGCGAGGGGTCGCATGGCCCCGAGTTGACGCTTCTTTGGCCTCGAAAGGGTGGCGAACTGGGGGGGATCGCTGGGTGGGGCTCCTCCGGGGATGGAAGGAGCCGTGGGGCAAAAGGGCAAGTGCCGAAGTAGCACGCACGTAAGTTACATTCCGAGTACAGTAAACTAGGTCTATAACGATAACCTTCGTGAGCAATTTTTCATCGTTATAACCCGACTACAGGGATTATATCGTTAAGATGCGACTACTCTTTTAGGAAAGAGCCCTACTTTTGTTAGTAGATAAGGCTGATAAGGCCTAATAAGGCTTGATAAGGGATTTTAGGGGGGGTAAAGTAGTGTGTAATTATAAACTTACATATATTAATAAGCAATATTTACGAGAAAAATCGCTATAGGTAAGAAGTCACTTTTATATATATAATATATAGAAAAGGTACTTCACGCCTAGGCGTGTGTGCCGAATCGCTATAGCAGGGGATCGTTATAAACCTGCTTTACTGTACGTGCGTACGTACAGTAAGTTACACGTGCGGCTGGGTTGGTTGGTCTGACTAAAGTTTGGGAGACTTGATGCGGACATTGCCGCCTGGATCCGCGCAGTACGGCTGAATTGAATTTTCTGGCTTTTTGTTTATTTACCTTTTTTTTTTCTTTTTTTTCTTCACCAGGGAGGAAACAGACTAGCCGGCAGGCAGGCAGCAGCAGGCTTGTCCCATAGTCCAGAGCCCTGACTGAGGAGGGCACCGGACGTAGGCCCTCGTGGTCCCGCCCGGATTGGTTGGTGAGGAACGCCCTGGTCATGAATGTTGGACGAGAGCAGCCACGCGGGAGAGGGAGCAGCTCGGGCAGTCAAGTTTACATGACTAGATATCACTGATATAATGTACACTCACGTCGTCTTGACAATGAGGTCGCATGGGTCCCGGTGCCCTGAGCAGCGGGTTGCGGCGTCGTCGTCGTCGCCTCCAATGGAGCCAAACCGGCGCACCGGGTTGCATAGCAGTGGTTGACGCTGATTTTGGTGATTTACGAGGAGCCCATGCGAGGTGTGGTGTCCGCGACGGCACCAGCAGGCGCAGTGTTGCCGGAGCCGAGAGGCTGCTGGCCGCCGAGGCATCTGAGCGCCTTGACCAGAATCTGTCTCGAGTGCACATTCACATCCACCAGCTCGACTTCGAACTCATCGCCGGCGTGAATGTCCCTGACGAGACGGCACCCGTTCAGCCCGGCAACGTCCATGGCGGCGCTCAGGTCAAACATGTCGAGGCGGCCCAGTAGGCCCTGGCGCCCGCGTGAACTGACGGTGAAGCGAAGCGTGCGCGGTGCCTTGTCCTCGAAGCGCCACGCTCGAACCAGCGCAATCAGAATCCAGTCTACCGTGCCGCGGGAGACTGTCTTGGCCATTCTTTCGCGCATGAACAGGAGTGGGAGGGTGGTTCTTAGCGATGCGGTCGAGAATGGGAGAATGTCGTCCAACGCGTCGCTTGTTGCGTCGATCCGTCGCTGCACTTTCCTTTCATACGCTAGCGCCGCGTGTATCTGCCAGTGCACGAGGAGATCGGAGAACCTTCGCAGCGGGGACGTTGCCTTTGCATACATGTCCACCCCTAGAAGGAAATATGGCCCGGGCTCTGATGAGATTTGGATTCCTCCCGTCAGTCTTGACAGCTCTTGTCGGTGAGTGGCTGACGGCTCGATGCCTTGGTTGATCAGCGGATAAACCTCCTTTGTGGCAAAGTTGAGTGCTGCCTCCAAGTTTTCTGCCGACTTGACGTCCTTGCGATATGGAATGGGAATCCCGCGGTCCGAACACCAGCGTGCCGCAATTTCTCCCGCGAGGACCATCGTGTTGGACACGACAGAACACCCGGTAAACAACTCCGTGCCGACTTTGATGTATGGGTCCGGCGGAAATGACGTAGCTCCCTGCGTAGCCCCAGCTTCCGGTATTGCGTCGTGGAAACACACCTGAACCGATGGTCGTGGGAAAAAGTATGGCCATGCCCCCTTTGATAACCTCTTTTGTTTGATCGATTCGGCGAGGCGATAAAGAGTCAGTATGTCCTCCTGACTTGATCCGTCCAATTCTTGTACAGATGTCATGTTGCGCTCAGGGGCTGCGGTCGAGGCATCCGGGGGCGTTCCCACCTCGAGGCTGTTGTAGCCTGTGGCAAACGGCGGCGTTTGCTCGCCGCAGAACTCGGCCACATCTTTGGGATCCAGATAGGTGACTTCCCCTAGCGTGCTGGGCTCAACTCGATAATCGAGGACATCGCCTGCGTCGCTGACTTTTGCGCTAAACGTTAACGCTGGACAGCCAGGTCCAAGTGAATACTGCTGTACCAAGCTCTCTGACTTGTAGTCTTTGGAATCATCCTCCCCCAACTCCGATGGTAGCATCGCCTGGAAGTGTCCGGGAAGGTAGATGTTCTCTGGAATCAGCTCCATGAACCTCCCGAGCTCCGAGTCGGGTTGAATGGCTGACGCTGGGTCTGCCACGTGCACGTGAATCCAAAACTCGCCAGGCTGATCCGTACGCTCCAGTGAAACACCATCATCGATGATCATTGTGGAAGGGGCATCGATGCAGAATATTCGCGAACCAGTCCTCATCTTTCTGCTGCCTTCTGCAATGTCAGGCCGTGTAGACTTGAGCAGGTCTTGAGGTTTCGGACGACTAATGCCGCCACCTCTGGCAATAGTAGTTCCTGGAAAACGAACCCTGTATCGAGAAGCAATTTCCCACGGTGCGATGACCCCAATTTCCTGGAGAAACGTCCAAGCAGTGCTCTGATCGAGGGTGGCATTGTCATAGAGGCACAATGACCGAAGAATGAGTGCGCCGTAAGAATGAAACCGGGATCCAGCGCCGAACAAATCGTAGCTCGCCCACCACTCTAGGAACGAAATCACGTCTTTGCTGACGGGGGACCAGTCCACCTTGGGTAGCGTCACGCTGGGCGATGTTTTCAATATCCCATGCGGAGTCCATTCCCGGGTCTGACGGCTGTGATAAACGGCCTCCCTCGCTTGGATGACAAATCTTCCCAAAGCAATTTCTTCCAATTCACTGTCATTGAGCGGCCGCGATTTCTTCGCACTCGAATCTGTGTATTGGCGTACCCAAGCCGCAACTTTGGCTGCGACGTGCGCGTGGTTTTGGGGAAACACTTCGAACAAGTGATCACGCCGGTGACAGTCTGCCGAAGGGCTCAATGGACTGAATGCAATGTCACTGCGGGACAAGGCCGTGTGCACAGCGTACAAAGCTGGTGGAGAAAAGCCATCTTCCCCTTTGAGGTTTTCCGGAAGTAACATGTCTGCGATTTCGAACAGGCTGAGATACTTGACACGTCGTGCGCTGGACAGCAGCTCACGGGCACCGTCAAGCTTGGCCATGTTCCCTTGATAAATTTCCTCGGAAGTCGTCCTGAATTTCGTCATTTTAGTAATGAGATGGACGCCGTCTTGCCTCAAGGGCCCTTTGTCGTCGTTGCGTAATTCGTCAAAGTGCTCGGGAGTACCATCCTTGGGAATCTTGGCCAGTACAGACTGCATTTCCGGAGGCGTTACGAAGTTGGAAACTGTGAAGAGTGGCGAATACCCCATGCTTGTGATCCATTTCCCATTGAGGGCATAAAAATGGTTCCTATCACCGAAGTAGCCAAGGTATATCGCGAACATGGGAACCCGAGAAGCTTGTTGTCTGACAAACCAATAAGTCAAAGATTGCAGCAGGACGAGGGGCAATTTGAACCTACATGAGCTCTACCAAGTCTCCAGGGCTTCTAGAGTCAGAGCCTACAATGGACGCCTCTGCGCTGTCGTTTGTAGGTCCTTCGCTACTCATGTCGGTCGTGCTTCGAGCGGTCGATCGTAACTGGTCGAATTCAGACGACCCCGTCGACTGCGTCCGGCTGATATTATTGACAATTCTTGCATCGATGCAAGCATCCGAAGGCATGGCTCGCGTGCCAACGTTTTCGTTCTCCATCATCCATCGTCGAAGGCGTTCGCGTATCGGTAGGTTTCCGATGGCCTCTGCATCGGCAGCACTGCTTCGTCCATCGTTCGGCGGGTTAGGGATGCGGTGATTTCCACAGGGCGTCGAGCTCTGCGTCGTAGCGAGTTTCTACGGACGTGGGAGATGTGTAAGTACTGTGCGGGATACATGTTCCGTTGGACATCTTTTTTGAGTACTAACTCTATGTGACGCTTGATTACTGGTATGTGCATTTACGTGTCCCGCCAGAACAGGACGCGTTTCCCTCGGGGAGATGGCACGGCGAGCTAGACAGTTCCAACATGCGTATGGCTGTCTCGAGTGCCGTATCATGGCGCTAGCTGGTTGAGTTGGATGCCGGAGGAGAGAGCTCTTAAACAACTTCATCCATCACGCCGCGCTCGACCATGGAGAGAAAATCTGCTAGACTCCACATCCGTCGGAGCATTCGAGGAAGCCAGGTCGGGCTTAGCGCCAGTGTCGCCCTGGCCCCTCGATCTCACGTGCTCCATCATGACACTACCGATTCGCCGGCCGTTGATGAGCCATCTGCTTTTGTCGATAATCCTCGATTTGCTTGCACAATTCGATCAACGTCGATTCCATCTCGGACTGGCTTGATCGGGCTTTCCTGCTTCCAGCTATTGAAGAGAAAAGTTGACTAATCATCCGGAGATTTTTTGCGCATGGATGGTGTTTTGGACAGGGCAAACGAGCGGGCGGTGGTTCCCCATGGCCAGTCAATAGTAAATACTTTTTTACGCACAGCCATGCTGGCAGTCAATTACAGCGAGGGTGTTGCTCAAGGTGGGCGAGGACGCAGACGGTCCACAGAGTGAGTGCAAGGCCAGCGCGCACAGCGAAGCACAAGGCCGCGTTATAGTATTCAGGTACGGAGTACGGAGTACGGAGTACATGTTGGCGATTACTGTGCATCACATGATCTTCTGGTGCCAAACAATTAATTGTCTCGAGCGACTCCGAGAACCTGGCGAAAAGCAGGAGCCTCAAAACAGCTCAACAATAAACTGAGACAAAATCATGACGGTCTTTTACTAGGCTTATTGCCGCGTCTCATTACATTCTACAGACGGCGATAGATCTTGGAACACCAGATTACGCCGCTCCACATTCCGATGCCTCTCCATGAGCCTCGCGCGATACGATGCCAAGGTGCCTCGGGCGAAGCACACGACGCAGCAGCGACACGGCGGCGGAACGAAGCGACGACAACAAACATGGCCTCGCTTTGAGTCGTATTGGCCCATGAGCCACCCATGTGTGGTTGATTGCATTCGCGTCAATGCCGCATGTGGTCATACCGAGTACGAAGTCGACTCTGCCCACCGTCGAGAAGTTTGTAGGTTGGGTACGGAGTACGGAGTACGACCTCCCATAAATTAAAGCCAACGCCTGGCACGGCCGAGAGCTGGGGGCGTACCCATCTTGACCGACAAGTCCATGTGGGAAGCCATGGCCCATGAGTCCAGTAGGCCTGACGCCCCTTTTGGCAGAAAGGGGAGAGAGACTGGGGGGCGTGCCTGGAAATGAAAGCCAAGACCAGACCAGACTGACGAGGCAGTCTCTGGTAAAAAGAATAAAAAAAAAAGTACAGTAAACCAGGTCTATAACGATATCCCTCGTGAGGCTTTTTTCATCGTCATATAGCGACTATCGTTAAGGTGCGACTTTTGTAGGGCTTGTACTTTTTATTGCATTTACTAGGGAATTACACCTAAGGATGTTATAAAGTATATATTAAGAGAAAGCAGCAAAATTTAGCCCCACTATAAGGAGATCCAGCCCTATTATAAGAAGTCCCAGCCCTTAAAAGTAGGGCCTTATAACGATAAAATGTATAGTAACTAAGCAAAAAGTTAACAATATTGTTAGTAATGCGACTATTAACAATTTACTAGAGAAAAACCTCAGATAACTGTGAATTATCGTAAAAACCCTAATTTCGCTATAACACAGGATCGTTATAGACATAGTTTACTGTAGTACTTTAGTAAAAGCTGCGCGTCGGTATGTATGACCCGGCGACGGAGAAGGAAAACAAAAAAAAAACAAAAACAAAAAAAAAACAGATCAACAGTCTCAGGGCTAGTGCACATTGCCCCATGGGCGACACGGTCTCGGACCCGAGCAGCTCGGGCCCCCGACAATTTGGAAAAGAGAGAATACAGATACTCCGTACTAGTAACGGCCTTCTGGGGATCGACGATGGAACTGGTGATGGAGCTGGCCAAAGTCCCAACAGGGCATAGACTCTTGTGAAGAGGAGAGTTCGGCAACACGAAGCCACCGACAGGTTCAACTCCACAAAGACTAATAACACTGAACGGAAATTACCAAAGAAGTGCTGACCGCATGTTGGTTGGATGCGCCGCCACATGCAGCAACAGACAAGACAGTCCCTAGTCCAACAAGGGTCCCGGGATCATGGGGCTGACAAGCTGAAGCCAGCAAGCCAGGTGTCGACCAGGGACGCGCAAGGCCACGAGTGAGATTTTTTTTTCTTTTCGCATGGGTTCACAGCGGACCAGAACACACAGCGCACGGCGGCAATGAATCTCCCACACCATGCCGACAAACGACGGCTTTTCCGCCCGTTGCGAGCGAGTCTCATCTCCGGCAACATGCTCAAATGAAGAATGCTACGTCAGGCATCTTCATAGCAGAACTATCGACGCGCCTATCCGATATGGGGAGGGGGGCTGGCGCGAAGTTGCTAGGGCAGGATTGCGCTCCGTCTCATTTCACTAAAAAGGCCAGCTGGTCAAATGGACCGCTGGGCGCTCATTTCCCATTTCCCAGGCTTCACGAAAAACATCGAACCCTAGCCTGGCCCTATGCTTGGCTTAGGCCACGAGGGCAGGGCGGACGGTCGGGTCGGTCGGCTGGCGTGGAAATTAACAACAGAACGCAAGACCCACAACGCCCCTTATCAGGGTGCGTAGTGTGTTGTCTGCGTGTCCGAGTCTGCGTGTCTGCGTGTCTGCGTGTCTGTCTGCGTGTCTGCGTGTGTCTGTGTCTGTGTCTGGTGCGCATGGCGAGAGGCAGACCGCCCGCACCCCCTTTCCCCTTTGTTCGGTGCCTGGCAGCCTCGGTACCTGACTAGTCGCCGTTCCACCGCGTCCAGGGTGTGTAGCTGCAGCCCGACCCGCCCGCCGCTTGTGAGTGGTCGTCCGCGTCGGTTCCTGGGCGTTTGCCGTCGTGGATCCGGGAACAAGCACCTGACGAACTTGGCCACATTCGGAGTGCTCCACAATAGTAGCCCGCATGTACATAACTCCATACGAAGTGCTAGTATACTCCCCAAGTCTGATCCTCGAAACAAGGCCAGACGTGACGAGCCCAACCCATGTCGTCGACGAGACCGCATCCTGGTCCATGGGTCCATGGCCGGCGCCATCCCATCTCCGCAATCAATGATAACAGTTATATCCCCCAACTGAGCCTTGATGCCTGCTGCTCCCTTCCCGCCTCTCCTCTCCTCTCCTCTCTCCTCTCCTCACGCATCCGCTGCCCATGTCGAGTTCGTAAGGAACGTCGTCCACGCCATCTTTTGGCCTTTCGTTCACTTCCCTTCACCAGCCTACCGCTTCACTCCTTCAGCGGGCACTCTTTTCCTTGCGCTTTAACGAATACATTACACCTCGGACAACCGTCACCAGTATATACACACTGTTCACGATGAAGGGAGCGTTTGTCGCCGCAGCCATGGCGGCACTGGCCAGCAGCGCCTCGGCCGGCCACCACCGTCATGCTCACGAGCACCTCTTCAGGAAGGCTCAGAACGATACCAGCGCCGTCTGCGTACCCGGCTGCACCACCATCTGGAAAACCATTACTGGCGAGCCCACCCGTATGTATTCCCCGACTGTCCAATGCCCACGACCACATCCGACACGACCGAGGGAAAGACTCGTGAGTGACTAACACACTGTGCTTAGTCGTGGTCCGATCCACCAAAACCGACACTCGAACTCTCACCGTGACTGCTTCTCCCGAGTCTTGCAGCGAAGCGCCGCCTCCACCGACGACCAAGGCACCTCCGCCGGCGCCTCCCACCACCGAAATCGTCGTCGTGCCCACTCCCGTCGTTCACACGTTGCCGACCCCAGGCACCTACACGTTGTCGGCCACCACCGTCACCATCCAGAAAACCACCACCGTCTGCGATGCTACTTCGACCCAGGTTCCCGCCGGCACTCACACCGTTGGCGGTGTCACGACGGTTGTCGTGACGGCCACGACTGTCACCTGCCCCGTGGCCACTGTTCAAACCAGCGACGGCGTCACCACGAGCACCATTGTCCAGACCACCTACGTCTGCCCCAGCGCCGGTACCTACACCATTGCTCCCATCACCACAACCGTGAGCGAGCAGACCGTCCTCGTATATCCCACTCCCGCTACCTACAAGCCGGGCACCTACACTGCTCCCCTGCAGGTCGTCACCGTCACCAAGACGGGCTTCGTCACCATCTGCCCGCTTACCAGCCAGGGTCTTCCAACCTCGACTGCCGCTCCAGCTCCGACTTCCATCAAGACACAGGTCGCTCCCCCTCCTGCTCAGAATACACAGGTTGCTCCGCCTCCTGCCAAGACTTCACAGGCGCCCCCCCCTCCCGCCAAGTCCTCGGAGGCTCCTAAAACGTCCGATACCTCGCCACCACCCCCAAGCACCAACGGCGGCGGCCTGGTGAGCAACAATGACCACTTGGGCATCACTTACACTCCCTACGTAGGCGCCACCGGCCAGTGCAAGACAGCAGGCCAGGTCGATGCTGATATTGCGGGCATCAAGAGTGCTGGTTTCTCTGTTGTGCGAGTGTACTCGACAGACTGCGACACGCTGAAGAACGTCGGCGATGCCTGCTCCAAGCATGGCCTCAAGATGATTGTGGGTGTATTTGTCAAGGCCTCAGGCTGCAGCGTGGACACGCCCGACATCAAGGAGCAGATAGACAAGCTTGCCGCTTGGGACAAGTGGGATCTTGTAGAACTTGTCGTGGTCGGTAACGAGGCCATCATGAACAACTACTGCTCTCCTCAGCAACTCAAGGATCTCATCACAGCTGTCAAGGGCAAGTGTTCTGGCAAATACAAGGGCAAGTTCACCATTTCGGAGACGTTGAACATCTGGCAGCGCAAGGACGTCGCGCCCACCCTCTGTCCCGCAGTCGACCTCACCGGTGCCAACATTCACCCGTACTTCAACAACGGAGTCAGTCCCAGTGATGCGGGTAAGTTCGTCCAGGGCCAGATTGACATTCTCCAGAAGATCTGCGACAAGGACGTCATCACCCTGGAATGCGGCTGGCCCTCGGGCGGTTCGAACAACGGTCTCGCCGTGGTCGGGCCCGAGGCGCAGGCCACTGCAGTCGAGTCGATTCGGAAACAGATCGGAAACAGGGTCATCTTTTTCTCCCTGGAAAACGATCTCTGGAAGCAGAAGGGCACCTGCGGCTGCGAGGACAGCTGGGGACTCGGCGCTGTTTTCAAAGTCAAGATTCAACTGTAACGAAAAAAGACTACACCAGGGCCACGCCTCTGGACTGTCCCGCCACGAGGCTCGTTCGGCCCGAGTCTTGGCCGAATGTACATGAGCCGAAAACAGGAAAAGAAGACCCGAAGCCGATCCAGATGATATGCAGGAGCCAGACGACCCCCGGCAGACCCGTGACACTTGTGATGTCGTCTAGAGAACGCGCGGTGGGTGGAACGGCAAGAAGCAAAGGTCCTGACGATTGCGGTCAGGGCCTTTTGAACTCGATCATATCGTGTTTCCGTTTCATTACGGGTCCTTTTTCATCTTTGCCAAGCTTGATGGCGTCTCTGGTGTTTTTTTTTTTTTTGGTGCCACGCAACACAGTTGGATCTTTCTATGTACATATATAGCATCTGCTTCGTGCTGAAATAATTTATTAGCCTCTTGGGATGAGCTGCATTTTCGTCTGGACCCCGACTCGAGTACGCATTGGCTTATTGGTGGCACATGCATCCGCGGTTTGGCCATGTGTGTTGACCACGTTGGAGTGTGCGTGATCTGGGGGTTCGTTTGTGTACCCCTCCCTCCCTGTGTCCTGTGTTTTGTAAGTTACTCCGTGCCATCGTCTGCCACGTCTGGCCGCGACGTGGACTGCTTGCCGTGCGACGTGTGGCGGTTTCTGCCTGTGCCGTGCAACCTGTGCCTCTGCCTGTCCCGTCTGCCTGCCGGCCGGCGGCGGTGGCGCCCCGCGAGAGGCGGCCAAAGCGCAGAATTTCTCGCGACCCCGTCCGTGGCTCACGTCACGTCACGTCCCGTCCCCGACTGACCTGTCACCTGATTGCTCTGGAAAAGTCTAGTAAACACATGAAGTCTGATGTACATTGTCTTGTTTCTGATATCCAACAAATTTGGAAACAAGCATCGTCTCGTTGCCATGATTGAGCCCGACAATCACGTAATTTTGCCCAAACCACATAATCGACAAGACAAGAGGCGAAGCCAGCTCCCCTGCTCTTGGCGGCGAAAGTCGTGTATGTGTATTTCCAACATGTCCGGGAGCCCAGGAACAGACTAATAACATCCAAAGCGTAAACACCACGGCGTTGCGTCGGGTGGTCGCTAATCTAACCAAATAAGATGCAACGTGCCAGTAGTAATGCTGCGGGGAAAGCTCAGAGAAATTGGCCTGGGGTATAAGACTAAGAAATAAAGGACATCCAAATTTGTCAGGCCCGTCGAAATGATGTACTGACGTCGGCGACGTTGCTTTGAACGTATAAAAGAGGGTATTTGTATCTGAATATGTTTTCGTTTCGGTCGACGTTGTCCCCGTGTCATGAATTATCAAAAGTGGAAGGGAAAAAAAAAAAAGAATAGTGCTGTGATCCCATCAGAACGGCTCAAGGCTTTGGGCGAAAAACGCCGCTCTGCGACTGCGAATCCATTTGTCCTGGAACGGTCTTTGCTCATCCTCCTCCCCAAGATGTAGGCAGCGCAGCGAGTGTTGTTCCAGATTCTCAAGAAGCGGTTCTGGTCGGCGTCCACATCGCTCCAGCTGCAACAGACCACCGCGATGTTTGTCGCAACAGAGAACATTGACTTCTTGCCCGTCATTTGCAAATGCAATGCCCCCAATCTCGCCAAAGACGTCAATGGTCTGCTTGGATGCAAACGTTTGCGCGTCGACAAAGTTGATGTAATCTGCTTCCTCAGCTGCCACCAGCACTGGCTTGCCACTTCCAAGGGGTGAGAAGCGAAGACCGCGTACACTGGCCATCTCCGATCGAATGGTGTACAGCGGAGTGCTTATACCGCTGGAATTGCACCATCTGCGCGCATCCCATATCTTGACGCCACGATCCTGGAAACCAGTTGCTACCGTCCGCCCATCTTCCGACCAATCGCAAGCAAAACCGTAGTCGCGATGTCCTGCAAGCTCTTGCAGGACCTCGCCGGTGTCTGCGTTTGTGATGAGGGCCTTGGAGCTATCACCGACAAGTACACGAAGGCGATGATCTGGTGATAGTGCTGAGCAGTTGAGAGCGAAAGGGTACATTTTTTCTGAAACAAAGTGCTCCGTCCCAACGTCCATGACTCGGAACCCGCGGTCATTGCTGGCAATTGCTGCTGCTGGGCCCGAGGAGCGGCGAGGCTGATATATCTTGACGTGATTCGTGATCCCGCTAAAGTCGGACGTGATCTGACCTTCGGTGAACCTTGACTTGTCGTCGCAGTCCAGGGGCTTCAGGTAATAATCACCACCAAATGTGCCTCCCATCAAAACCCCGCAAGCCGCATCCAGGCTGGAAAGCGCGGCACTCATGGATGGAAGGTCGCGCGTGTTCATCATGACGTCGGTAGTTCGAGAAATCGTATTGATCCTATTCACACCCGTCGGGCTGGGATAGTAGGCGTGTGTCCGTGAAGGGCAGGCCAGCACATTTCGGAGCTGAAAGTGAGCAAGATGAACGTCTTGTCGAATGTTCATCCTTCTAAGACGGAAGAAACTTTCAAAAGAAGGAATGCCCTCGTCATCCATGTGAGGCTACATTGTCATGTTAGCAAACGTGCACGGTGGGGTGTGTGGCGGGCGTCGTTGCGGCACTGCACCTACGGCTAATATATCAGACCCGTGGTGGTTGACGTAATTTTTGTAGGTTCGAAGGCGCCTCTCTCTCGCATTTCTCCGCGTGGTTTCCATCGCGGCCCAATTTAAGCCCTGAAAATCACAATGGTCGCCGCGGAGATCTGAATACCTGACCTCTTTGACACGGGCACCAGCTTGTTTTATTACCTCGCCAAGGTGTGGCGGACGAGATCGAGGGCTGTCAGCGAAACTGCCTTGATAGGCCCAGCTTCGAAGAAAGTCAACGAGACCGAGATTTTCGGCTCCAGGAATTGCTGGATTGGGATTGCTTAGTTGGACAGGTGGGAGGGCATCATTCGTATCATCAAACGCAGCCATGTTCATCTCTGGTGCCGGAAAAATCCCATGACCATTGGCGCCAGGCCATGTCTGGGACGTAAGCTCCGTGCCCATTGTCAACGAAGATCCGTAAAGGTCGTGTAAATGCAGAGGTAAGTTGGGAGGGCCGTTGAAGTTGGGGTATAGATCGAAAGTTTGGGAGGGAAGAGGCCCATGGTAGTCTGAATCCTGCTCAATGTCAAGGTCCCCGTCGCTGCCGTCGCTGCCGTCGCTGCTGTCGTTGTAGTCGTAGTCAATCCCAGCCGCCGTAGAATGTGAGCCAGGATGGTCTTCGGTGTGGGCATCATGGGGAGTCTGGTCAAGGGGCACGCCACTGTCGATATCGTTCATGCCCTCATCGTCATCTCCATGATGGTCCTCTGGGGATTGTAAATGATGTGATTGATCAGGGGGGTGGGTAGGAGGAACGTGATGGAAAGGTTGGTTCGCATCAGGATGGTGCGCTGTGGTGGTGTTTTGGGCGTCGTGTCGGGTAGACGTCACGGGTAGGCCCGAGACAGGACATTGGCGACCAGCGTGGGTTAGTTCGCTAAGAGTTTTATCAATGCCGTCGTCGTCGTGGTCGTGGTCGGTATTGGGAGAAACAACTCCAACGCCGTTCCCCGAGTGGCGAGAGCCGCCTTCATCCTGCTCAGACCAGTCTGACTCGCTGTGAGACTGTTCCGCCGACGAATATGACGAGCGCATGGCGGTGCCAACGGCAGGAGCTTTCCAAGATTATTTGAAATGCCTGCCAGCCGGAAGAACGCGAGAGCCCGCCTTATGCGTTCCAGAGCTTCGCTGGCTTAAACCAGTTAGTTGGCTTTGTCGCTAGGCTCGGGCCAGTCTGATGTATCACAACCGGGACTTGCTTTTTTAGTTTTCGATCAGATTTGTCACTGCTCACTCAGTTTGGAGTAGTTAATAGCCACGGCTGCCTCTTAGATTGTCCACTTATCGGGGGACGTCTCCCCTGGCCAGTCGAGTTGTCGGGTAGCTAGTCAGTTAGGCGACATCCATACACATGTCCCTTTTTTCCTTTCCTTTCTTTTTTTTTTCCTTTCTTGAACTCTTTCTTTTTCTTTTTTTGCTTTTGCGGGGGACGGCGCTCATATGTTGCTGACGTAGTCCTCCTACCACCTCGTCTTTTTTCCCACTGGGCACTGCGTGCTGAGGCGACGGTCGGGCTGCGGGGCAGGACGGACGTTAGGATGATCAATACGTACGGATAGGATTATAGGACGGTCGAGGCAAATTCATTGACGTGCAGCCCAAGGCACGAAGTCAGGCACGATGGTTGGCCTGAGGCTATCGAGCCTCGGGAAAGGATGTGTGACGTTTGATCAAAACAAACACTGGATTTCAAAAGAGCCCAGCGCAGCATTTGCATCCAAGCCAACCGAGGACGACTTTACACTGCTCCGCACTTGACAATGGATCCTAAGTGGAAATGCGTAGGGTAAATGATGCCCGATGTTTGCGCCAGTATGATTGAAGACAATGGGCTGGCTGATTGACAAAACTGGTCACCCGGAGAAGGTTTCGATTTAAGCTGGGAACCTCGAGAGGAGAAGATTGTGTCACGGTTAAACGTCTCGAGGAACCAGACGTGTAGCACAGGAAGCTGCCGCTTCTACGTACTCGGTCCTCCGTACGACTGATGGATGCTCTGGTTCTGATACCGACTCGGGGACGGTCTGCCGCCTTGGGCGTTGGCTGCCTGTTGCAATTCGCCAAGCCGGGCAGCGAGATAGCCCTCGGGATCGAAAGTCGTCGTCGTGCTGGGGAAGGCGGGTATTGAGCTGTCAACTGCGAGAACCAACTCCGTTTCGACGTCCGCGAGTGACACCCGACGTCGACCCAAGACCCCAAGTATTTATTCGGCCTGATGGAGGGATTCCTGGCTTGCCCCAACTCCTGATACGACCAGATGCCTGACCGATGGTCGGTAGCATTACTTCAATACGGAGTAAGTACTTACCAAAGCCAAGTTGTGTAGACACGAGAACTTGGTAGGTGGCAAGCAGGGGAAAGACCCTCAGGGAAAAAGCGAGCGAGAAGTTTTGCCAGTGGCGGTTTTACGGCGTCGTATCCACGGTTGGAGCCATTGCTTATACAGCCAGACGTGTGGTGGGCTTTCAACAGACCAGCTGTCGAGGTGGGTAATGAGTAACTACTACTAGTAGTGTCGTGGATCGACCAGGATGGTCACGGCTCACGACGCTGAGCCTGATTCCGATGCTGGTGGTGCTGGTGCTGATGCTGACGCCGGCCGGGTTGCCAGCCAGGATGGACTGGTGTGACATATTCGTTCGCTCGACAGTTCCCGCCGCCCAGTCGAAGGCCGGTGATAGCTCAACAAGCTTGTGCGCCATCGGGGACTGTTTTGGCAAGCTGGGGGTCCACCGTCCGAGAACGGAGTGGGTGCTTGGCGTGCCCGGTCAGCGGTCGGTCACTGGATGCATCCCACCATCGACCGAACATCTTGGAAGCATTGCATCAAGTGTGAAATCGAGTTGATCGAAACGTGAAGACTTGGCCGTACTCGGTAAGTTAGTATAACTACAAAGCAACCCAACCCATTGATTGACCACTTGGCGCTCAAGTGCTCATATACACATATCCGTGCCAATATGGGGAAAGACCTCGGCGCCAAGGACTCAATCAAAACCCAGCGTGGCAGATGCGGCAGGCGCTCCCGTGCTCCAGACTCCAGAGTACCAGTTCCAGTTGGCTGCAGCTGGCTCTACTCCGTACGGAGTACGGAGTACAGAGACGTAGATTCCATGTTGCACAAGGCACGCCACGCCACGCCGTGTCTGTACTCCGTACTCCCTGCCTGTCGGAAACAGGCTCCTGCCACGAAACTAGCGAGTTTGCATGGCAGCGCCTGCCTGCGCCTGCCTGCCTTGCCTGCCTTCTACGTTCTGGCTGCGTGCACCTCACTCAGCGTGCAACATTGATGAATCTGCAATCTAGATAGATGACTTGCTGCAGTCACATTTTCCCTAGCACCCGGTGCTTTGAGGAAACATCCACGCCACCAACTACTCCATACAACTTTCGCTCTCGGCTTGTATGCGTCTTCGTTTTTCTTCACTCTCCCACTCGGCACTTGGTTGTTCTCTACCTCGCCCTCCGTTCCGGTACATGGACGGACCGAGTAACTTACGTACTCAGAAGTCTGGACTCGTCAGCTGCTTCAGTTCCGCGGCCAAAAATCACTCACGACATCCTCCAATGACGGCATGACTTTCTTTGGGATGCATCAGTTTTTTATCCCTCCAGCGCTCCGTATGCCAAGTGCTCCCATCATACACATCAACATGACTGGCTATAGGTACTTAGACCTAGGTACTCCGTACTCCATGACTGATGACAGTGCAGACACCGTCCGAACAAGCCCCGGACAATTCAGGCTGTGTCTGTTCAGGGGCACGCGGCCAAGATTCCATCGACTGCTGGTGCTGCAGCTTCCAAGGCCGCGTAATCGGGCGCGTTTGCACCAGTGGAACAAGCCCTCCGTTGTCCCAAACTCCCACCAGAGGCATCAAAATTCCTTATCGACCTTGATACCTCGCCCGCCATGCTTGATGCGCTTGGGGTAAATTCCACGAGCCCAACTCAGTTCCTCGACCATGCCGAGCCTAATGCCGGACACAATCTGGAACCATCCCGTGGTACTCCACCAAAGGCCTTGCTGGCTTTCTCCAACACCATGTGTCCGTCTCCAACCAAAACCCGGGCCAGGACATGACTGACCACACTGGCGAATTTGTCCGTCCTAGTACTGGTCTGTGCCACCGTCTTTTATGATAACTGATCTATTGCTCTAGAGCCCCATGGCGCACCCACTTCGTCGACCAGCCAGTCACCACTGTCGTTTCATTGTGGATGACTCTGAGAGCCTTCTCTCGAGACACACAGTTGCCAGGGCTGCTGATGACAGCGAGTTAGGAGTACTCCGTGGTACTTGATATCGGTCTGGGAAGCTCTTTGGGCTCGACTCGACTGATGTATGGGTGACAATGCCCGCGCCTCCTCTCTTCTGTCATGGACACTACGCTACTACATTCGCCTGATATGGCGGCCTTCTGCGGTTGCAATCACTTTTCGACTTTCCGACTTGGTGATTGACATCAGTACGTCCTGTTGGAGGACGTGTCACACGATATGGCACCAAGCTAGATATCACTCAGGATGATGGTTAAAAGCCTTGAATTAATCTACAAAAGAGAGAATTGTATGCGCCCTTTAAATAGGTGCGCTTGGCTCCACGCTTTAGGTGCGCATTAACTTTATCCCGTGCGCATGCGTGTCTATTAGCCCTAGGTGGGTATGCTAGGGCGCGTTAGGCATGCTGTGCCGTGCGATACACCCCCTAATTGAAGCTGCGTTTGAAGCTATTGCGAGTCTTAGACTATGCGAGCGTGCGCTTAACGGAGCGTTTAATTAAAGCTCTTGCACGCCTGCTAATGCCTCTAATTTGCCCTAATTCTATTGTTTTGTATAGTGTAGCTATACTGTTTTTTTAGGTGAATTAAAAGTAAGCGCTGTATACTTATTAGCCGGCTGCTCTTTATATTTATACGCGCTTTCTAAGAGCATTGCAAGCTCTCTTTTTCCTTCCTTCTGCAACTGCCTTTATACAATTATAAGCTTATATTTTAATTGTTGCTATTATTATTGTAATTATTATTATGCCTCTAAGATTAGGCAGGACTATTTACGCTAAGCGCTAGCAGTAAATACCAGCGAATTTAGATATATCTATGTCTACCTTATTTAAGGAGCAGCCTAGCAGTGCTGCTTCTACTCCTAATAGCAAGGAGGTTCTAGTAACGCCTTCTCTCTCTAAGCGTTATTGTCCCTTAAGGCCTGCTAGGCCTACAAGAGTGCAAAGAGTAAGTTGTGCTTAGAAGCGTTGTTCTGTAAGTCCTACGCGCTAACTGTTAGACTAAATCTCTAGAGCTAGATGTGCTGCGTAATGTGCTCTATAAGGGCTGCATTTGCGCGGCTATTGCAAGCAAAGGCAATAAAGGTCGCTGCTTTAAGGTAACTACTAGTTGCTCTAAATAATGCTGCTTGTGCAAGGCAGGCAATTATACTTGCCGGCCTTAGTAAGCTTAATTTCGCTCCTCTAATTAGCTAATTGCTAATTATATATATAGTCACGCTATATTAGTTCCTATTGCTAAGCAGATGCTGTTAGTGCTAGGTGTAGACAGCAAGGTAAGCTCCTAACGCTCTATTACCTCTGATTCTACGCTTAATTTTAATACTCTAAGCTGTAGATATATAATAGGTGCTGTTAAGCACTTTAATTGCAGCTTAACCTTCTTATAGAGTCTAACTCTATATATAAAGAGTCTACACTTAGTGTTAGAGCTAATAATGCCGCTAGGGGCTTATTAGCAGCTAGAGGAAAGAAAGCTTATGTAAGAGCTTTGCTTAACTAGGTTATAGACTTAGTTGTTAAGAAGTAAGCTTTGCTTTTGTTGTTCTATTGCATATATATTTTAATATAAGCAGCAGCTTGCTTTTTGCCTGCAAGTGTTTTTAGCGTTTAGCGTTTTAGCGTTACCTTATACAATTTTATTTGCCTTCTAAGCGCGCTTTGCTTAGAAGGGGTAGGCGCTTATGTATCTAAGAGGCAATTAATTTAATGCCCCCCCTTAGCTGTACTCTTGTTCGCGTAATTATAACGT